GGAGACAGAGCTTTTAAGGGGCTCTGACAATACCAATCACAGACATCCCCATGCCATCTCCCCCTTTCACCTCTTCCCACTGAGAAAAGTCCAGAGATGACAGAATAAAATTCTCCCATTTCACCAACCACTCCGTGCATCTCTAGCTGAGAGAGAAAATAGTCCAACAAGCTTTGTTTTGAGCAAATGCCTTTAAGCTCCCAAGCTCTGGCCGGGAAAGAGAATATTTAAAGTACTTACTCTTCTTGAAGAATAAAGTCACTGTTTTCTGGAGAAAACTGCCCACTCACAGGATGCCTGAACGCTGTGGTCTGCTGGTTATGGCTAAAGAGAAAGAGAAGGAAATAATGAAGCAGAAGTCATATGAATGAAAAGGATTATAGACACAACAATAGGTTGGGAATGTCTGAGGACCCATGATCATCACAGACGCCTCCCAGGGTGAGAAAGTGGGCCTTTCTGCTGAGAGGCACTGAATCTTTTACAACCCAGCTGTATTCAAAAGCCAAGAACTTCCAGCTGAGCCCTAGCCAGGTAGCTCAGTTGGTTACAGCACCGTCCCAATACACCAAGGTTGCAAGTTCGATCCCCAGTCGGGACACATGCAAGAATCAACCAATGAATGTATAAATAAGTGGAACAACAAATCTATGTTCCTCTCTCTTTTCTCTCTTTCTCTCCCCTCCCTCCCTCTCTAAAATCAATTAATAAATAAAAATGCTTAAAAAAAAAAGAACTTCTAGCTCAGGTGCTAGAGGCCACCTATGATGCAGGGATTTTAATTCTAGGGATGTCTTGGCTCCAGGAAAGAACTGCATCTTAGAGAGACATTCCACGAAGCACTGACTCCAACAAACGGAGCAGCTTAGCAAAAAGTTGCTTTAAGACGGCACGAGCTAAAACAAGAATGAAGGAAAGCAGACGGCCCTTCCACAACCCATGAACCAGGGAAAGAATTCTAAGAATTAACCACCCACCCAGGAAAAAAGCCAACCATCTTCTTAAAATTCTTCTCCCTACTACAGAATGTCTTCACGTCAGTGATGGATATAAACGTACGGGCATGTCTCTGCAGCATGACCTGCACGATTTCCACACTGCAGAGTTCCCACCACCCTTTTGAAGTTAGGAGGGATCAGCTTCCACGCCAAGCTGACAGGCACAACCAAAGTGTGTAGGTGTTTTGTGTGTCCACAAAGGCTGCCTGGTTCTTTGAAAGGAAGGAGGAGCTGGCTCTAGAGACCGCTGGTTTGTTCCCTGAATAAACTAACCTAACCTCCTTTTTAAAAGAATATGATTTGTTTGAAAATGTTTTCCCCAGTCACAAATCAATCCTTTGACAAATTTTAGAAAATAGAGACAGAAAGAAGGTGACCCATGATCTCACCACCTAGACATATACCTTTGCATGTGCTCCTTCCTAGCTTTTTAATTTTTTTCCTTCTATTAAAAAAAGCTATGATTTTACTGTATTTAGAAATCTGTATTCTACTTTTATCACATCCTATGAACACAGAAATTTTCCTGTGTCATTAAGACTTCTTCATTTGAAATAGCTGAATGATGGTCTCATCATACAGATATAGTTTTTTCTCATATCACCAACTGTTCAAAAACTATTTCCTGGCCGTGTGTGTGCCAGGCTCTGCTTTAGATGCTGGAGACACAGAGTGGACAAGGGAGACCTTACCCAACAGCTCTTACGCTCTAGAAAGATGAACATTCTTCTAATACTGGACATTTCAGGCACCCTCCCCACCCCACTGTTATAATAAACTAGGGGCCCGGTGCATGAAATTCATGCACAGCGGGTGGGGAGGGTGGTCCTCGCCCAGCCTGCACCCTCTTGCAATTCAGGACCTCTCAGAGGATGTCCAACGGCCAGTTTAGGCCCCATCCCACCGCTCACAATCCAGGACCACTGGCTCCTAACTGCTCACCTGCCTGCCTGCCTGATCACCCCTAACCACTCTGCCTGCCTGCCTAATCACTCCTAACTGCTCGCCTGCCTGCCTGATTGCTCCTAACTGCCTCTGCCTCATCCCCCACCACAGCAGTTTTGTCCGGAAGGACATCCGGAAGGTCGTTCGGCTGTCCGCTCTAATTAGCATATTACGCTTTATTATTCTAGATACATCTTTGAGTATAGGCTTTTTCTGCAATTCAAATGATTTCCTTGGCTTAAAGTCCCAGGGGTAAGATGACCAGAGCATGGTCATGTTTTAAGGCTCCTAACACAGATGGTTAACATGTTTTCACTGTCAGAGTGCATCCATCATCTCAGTTTGTTGGTATTAAAGTGTTAGCCTCACCTCCAAATTGCGCACTGAGCCAACCCAGAAACTAGTAGATTTAAATGAGTGTAGCATAAAGGTCGATAAAGAAAAAAATCTCTAGGCCTACAAAGTTTTTCTTACTCTGTCCTGGAGCCTGGTCAGAGCACCCTGTGTTCTGGTGTCTGGGGTGAGCTGGCACCAAGGCTAGAACAGCCTGACTCCCAATAAGCCAAACGTGCAGCAGGCAGAGCCAGGTTTTCCCCTGGTCCCAGCACCCTCTCACCCCTCCCCACCACTGCCAGCCTCAGGATCCCAGCTTCTGGTTCTAGGCAAGTTCCATATGCCCTCATTTGGCAGGCAGCATCCTGGTCTTTCCAAGACATGAGCATCTGGATAAGGGTGGGAAGCAGGCTCCCTTAACACCTGTTTCAGAAATCCTTGTACCACGTTCAAGGGTTGAGCTTTATTACACCCAGCTCCTTCAAGAGAGGCATCTCCATTCACCAGGGACCTGGAAACACAAGCTCTAATCTAAGTCTGCCTCCTTTCCACCTGCAGGAGAAAAAGACCCTGCTCATAGTGGGAGTAACAATAAAGCAACACCCTTACCACTATCCACTCTCATTGCTTAAGGGTTCTCCAGTCCTAAAGCCTTCCCTTACACATCTCAGCTATTAACACCGGCCACCCCATGTTATGAATGAAGAAAGGGCTCAGAGAGGTTAAGTGACTTGTTTAAGATAACTCCATCAATCAGTGACAAGCCTGGGACATGAGTCCAGGTCTTCTATTTCTAAATGGCATTCTCTTTGCATGATAACCTGCTGTCCCCTTCCCTTAGGGGCCTGTGGGGCTGGAAGCTTCCTGGCTGGTGACAGAAATCCCTAAAGACAAGGCAACAGAAAAATAGCACCATCCACCGCTCTCCCTGCCCCTCCCTCCCTCCGTCCTTCACTCTCTGTCTCCCCTGTGCCAGGGCCAGGGTCCGACTGACAACACCAACGTGACTCTCAGTAACTCCCAAACAGCCTCTGGTCCTATCACAAGGTCAACTGGGTGGAACTCTGGTGGAATCTTCTATGTACTTGGAGCAGCATCCAGCACCAGCAACCACTTCACATACTAACACCACACAACCTTAGTAGCAACTCCTGGGCTCCCCACACCCAACCTGTACAAGCTTGACAAAGCCCAGAGTCTTGGGTAAGTAAATGCTGAGCTGAATGGTGTAGGCACTAAGATGAAGTTTACTGGTACATTATGACATTAGAAGAAAGGTAGTTTTTGAAAGTGGACAAAAACACAGCTGTCATTGCACCAAATACAGAGGTAACTTCCTAAAGTTTCCTCCCTAATATGAATGCTGCCCTTTTTGCCAAAAAAAAAAAAAAAAAGGCATTAACCACAGCATCATTAGCATCCTTTCCTGCGTTTACATGAAGCCTTAAGTGTAGTCACATTTGTCACCGCATTGGACCCTCCCAAGTACCCACTGAGTTAGGCAAAGCAGGCATTCTTATCCCCATGTTACACAATAGGAAACAGGATTCGGGTTATGGGATGGTATTGAACACTAAATTTAAAGGAAAAAAAAGAGACTCATATATTGAGAAAAGAGATGAACCAAAGTAATGCCTCCGAAATACTGTTTAACATTTGATCATGTCTGATCAGACTCACCCGACTTGCTAATGGCAAAGCTTCTGGTTCAGCATTTTTAGAGCAAAGGAGAAAATTTAGGTCCTTAGGCTGTTTTATTTCATTTAATCTTCCCAAGTACCCTGTAGGGCAAGCTGTGTCTCATCACACCACGCCACGGGTGAGGAAAGGGAGGCCCGAAAAGGGTAGATGACCTGCCCACAGGGACAGTCAACTCCTGCGTTCCTGCCTCTCGGTCAAGCTCTTCCTGATCTCTTTCTGCTACTCCAGACTCGCCCTTACCAAACCAAGGCTGCCTATTAAATGCTGGAGCCCTCCACCCATCTGGAGATTGCCAAGTGTTCTCACCTTTCCTGCTGTCTCCCCACCCCTTACCCCAAAAGCACCCCTCCTGCTCATTTCCTGATTTTCTAAAACTCACGTAGGATCTCATGTACTATAACCCTGTTGCAGGACATATTTAGCAGGCACAGACAAATCCCCCGAAATACCTGTTCTTAAACCTGAATTGCCACCTTGCTCCTTGGTAGTGATGGAGATGGCCCGGCTAGAAGCCAGGCGGCTGGTCTCAGGGAGCACAGAAACTCTCTCTCCTCCATACAAGGGCTCCAGTTTCTCTTTAGGCCCCTGAGAAAGTAACTTGGCAAATGAGGCCAAAAATAGCCCTAGCCTTTATCCCACTCTTCTCCCAGGAACAGCCCCTCCACGCTGAACAGCAGCCAGTCTCGCCTGGGAGAGGACCAGGTAGCAGGGATGAAGGTGGCAGGGAAGGATGATCCCCGAGAAGGCGGGCCACAGGTAACCGTCCACATAAATCAGCACGTCGTCACAGGCCCCGGGCTGGGAAGGGCTAGGGTTAGGCCCTAAAGAAGCCCGACAGCAAACACAAAAGAGAAGAGAGTGAGGACCAGGGAGAAGTGGAGACCGGCTTGAGCTCAGTGTAAGGAAGAGCCCACCTGCAGCCACAGACAGGACTCGTCCAAATGCACACGGGTCCTGTAGTTTCTTTGCAACGTTATTGCAAGACTGATTTTCCAGGCATATAGATTTTGACTACAAGGCGAGCAGTGACTCTGGTTGGTTAAGCCTAAAGGTTCCAATTCCTTGGGATGGCAATTTGGGGGGCATGGCAAGAAGCCGTGGAGTTATGTGAACGGTGCTGGGGAATGGAGGTCGGAGTCCCCTGGTGAATCTGGCTTTCTGACAGCGGTGGTATTGGTACGCTGCGAGTGCGGCAAAGATTTAGCTCTCACCGGGCCCATGTTATTAAGAGAAGAAAGGGTTTCAGGGGTAAGGAAAGCTTCCGGCCTCAAGCCTCAGGAAGAACTCTATCAAGGCTCTTCCCATTGGCGTGCTCAGCAGCATGTGCCACTCTGGACCTCCTGGCTC